CCTTTTGTGTACATAGAAAAAGTCTTAGATCTTTGAGTTCAGCTATATATGCAGATATGTGCAGTAAGGTATATGCAGTAAGGTTACTAGTTACTCATTCACGTGAACAAAAACATATAGGCCTACACTGAGATGCTTATAGTGGAATAACCTTGTGTCGTTTCTGTATAAACAGTCATGCAGTGAGTCCAAGGGCAGCAAATATGAGGGGGTCAAAGGTCGAGAGACAGTCAGCCTTGAGCAAGGCAACAAATCAGCCTACAAACACAAACCTCAAGGATGTTGCTAAGTGTGTGTGCAATAAATAATCCAAGACTCACTTTATATACATTTATTAGAAAATATATTTCTGTAATGTCAAGACAAGTCAGTAATTATTAGATTTTGAATAAACAATCTATTGTGTACATGCATGATTTTAAATACTTGGGTCGTATGACACTCCACACTATTATAAATAAACGACGACACACCAGCAAATGTAATTCTATGCATTCACAATAAAATGAATTAATAATATAATAAGTCCTATGTTAAACGTTCAATGTGTTAACCTTAAATATTTAACAAAAGGCTTTTTGATTAAATTGAAATGAAACCACAGCAAACTAAAGCATTATAAATGACATCATGTGGTCTTGAGGAGCTTGATGGGTGTCTCTAGCTTCATAGCGGTGTTCAGATCTCCCTGAACTCTCAGTCTGCCACTGCTGTAGGCCGCAAACGGTCGCAGGCCGCCCTCAAACATGGCCAACAGATCCTGCTCGCTCATGCACAGAGAAACATCTGGCTCCCGCGGCGGGACGCCCCCTCCACACGCTCCAGCACCTCGACACAGACACAGCACAGCGCTGAGACAGCATTCAGGGGATTTCAATCCAACGCACAAAACTGTCCCCAAACGGCCAAATCAACCCAAATCTTAATATGTGGTCATTCATTTTCTTGCCATGTAATCAATGGGATTATGGATTATATTATATTTATGGCGTGTTTGAACTTTTTTTATACTGTAGATTAAAGCACTGCGTAAAAGTGCATTTCTTATCTTTTCTATGCACCATGACCTGCATTCATTAATCTTACCCTCTTTTTCATTTAGTAACACATCTGCCTCATAGAAAGGGTTTCACAGATGTTCAAAGCCTGACTCAAACCCAAATCACCCCACTGAGCACAATCACTAAACCACGGCTCCGATGTGATATTGTTCCTACATAGGTTCAGAATGGCATGCAACAGTTGGTTCCGGAAGTAAAAATGCCATTCATTTTCTCCAATGTTTCACCAATAACTAATAAACCTATAAAAACCCCATCTACTGTGAGCTCAGAGGTTGTTAATTGATGATATATCCTTTTGTTGAAGCCATCAGTTCACAGTATTTCAACTTATGTTTTAAATAATAGTGTTTAACAGCAGAATCCCTGGTTAAAAACTACATTACCCATGATGCTGCACAGAAAGTTCCACCAATCAGAGAGCCGCAGTGAGAAAATGTTATTCTAGGCATTTGAGAAGGCTAAGATGATCAAACGTGGTAAACTCACTGTCGGCCGCTGGCTGCTTGGTTGTCATGAGATTGGCAGAAACTGTGTGTGTGTTATGTCCCCTTTAAATCCCTATAGGAAAAATGAAAGGAAAAAATACTTTCGGAACCAGCACCACTGAAAGAGTGGGCAGCGATTCAGCAATTTCAGTGTAGTTACACCAGTGTTATTTAGTATAATTCAGATACTATTATAGTTTCTTGTTAAAATTGTAAATTTATTTTTAATTTTATATTTTCCATTTTTATTTGAATTTTAGCTAAAGGTTTTAGTAATTTTGTTTTGTGTTTTTGTCATTTTTATTTTTTATATATCTATTTAGCTTAGTTTTTAATTCAGTTTTAGTTATTTTAGTACAGCAAATTAAACTAAATGAAAATTAGAAATGTTGCTCTGAAAAATGTTTTGTATCCTGCATTTTATTTCAGTTATGGTTTATTTTATTTCAAGTAACGCAATTTTTTTTTATGGTTGTAGCTTTAGTATATTTACAGTATAATAACCCTGCAACAGAGCTGTTGCATATAGTGAAATGGCATTGGTAAACAGTGTTTTTTGTTTCTCTCAGTCTTACCTTGTGTCAGGTCCACATAGCTGTTGATCTGTCCAGAGTCAGTGGTGATCTGAAAGCACCTGATGAACCAGCTGCTCTGACAGCACTGACTGAACCGTATCCATCAGTCTATCAACACGACTGACACTCACAGCTGGAGCTGGACGCAGCTCATCTGCAAAACTCACTGAATCTGGAGAAACCACAATATGAGATTCTGTTTATTATGCTGGCTTGAAAAAAACAGCCATGCAATCACCCAGAAAACCCTAGCAACTAACTCAGAACACCTTAGCAATCACCTAGCAACTTTTCATCATAAAATCAAGACAAGAATTGTTTCATATCTTTTAGGAACTGTCTATAATCCTGTCTGCTCATGAAAGTGTGGAGGTGTCTACCATCACCTTGACTGAATTGAGACGCAGCCGTCTGGCTCAGGAAGTGCATTGCAAGCTGCTGTATGGGTCCGGTGAGTCCTTCCAGCCCAGGAACAGAGGGGGGCATAATGACGGGACCCGCATGACCCCCGTCCGGTTCCCGGAGCACCCCCTCCAGGATCAGCTCCACACGGTCCACCTCCAGCCCCCACGGCTTCGTCATCTCATTCATGTCCACCTGCAGCACACAAGCACTTCAAAAACTCAATCTCAGTAAAAATGATGGAATACAGATCATTCATAAAATGCAAGTCAATGGCTACCAGCACTTTGAGAGTCAAAAAAGCTACACAAACACAAAATTCATACCTGTGGCTCCTGACGATATATTGAGGTCTTCTGAAGCACAACGATCGGTCTGTGCAAGAAAACGGAACATTATTTACAACGTTATTGCCTGTAATCCAGAGCCTTAGACAAATGGTCTGGAGTGATGTCCGGTTCATGAACGAATCATTCTTTTGAACTGGTTCTTTTTGGTGAACTATTCGGACTGAAGCGTCTGAATCAGTTTGCAGCTCGAGCAGCACAGATCTGCAAGTTACTCAATTAAAACTCACTTTCAGACGCCTGACAGTCACTCCGACTCGAAATGAGCCGAAATACCGGCGTATGTGATCCTATGATGAATGAACTCATTCAGTGCTCCAGTTCCTCCGACAGTCACTGAACTGAGGAAACAGACTCGGACCGATGAGCCGCTGATATGCACAGTTGTGAACTGAACACTTGAATGAAGGGGCAAACTGAATGTTTTTATGGTCCTCAATGAGTGCGTTTACATGTTCTTAAGCCGATTATGCTTAATAAGCCCACAACACACGTGGTCATATAAACGCAGTAAGCAAATATATCACAAACACAGACTCATTCATGATCCAGAAAATGATAAAAAATGTGTTCTCATTTCATGCATCAGAAGTAGAAATGGTTCAGTCAAAACGCTGCATCTGTAACTGCATGAGAGGATAATATGCAAGCTTTAACATCACAAACTGACAACATATGGGATACTCAGAGTCAGATACGCAAATGATTAGCTATGTTTTGACCTGAAGCACTGTCCGAAAGAATCAGTGAGCGTAAAAGAATCAAATTTCCCCGTCTGCCTGAGGCTCTGGATTACAGGTAATAATGCAGTAAATAATGTTCAGTTTCTTGCACAGACCGATTGTTTCGCTTCATAAGACCTCAATATATTGTCAGGAGCCACGGGTATTCATTTGTATTCCTTGATATGCTTTTTTATTCTCAAAGACAGGCAGCCGCTGACTTGCATTTTATGAATCACCAATAACCACGGTTTCAGCTAAAAATCTTCTTTACTGTTCTGCTGAAAACAGTCACCTACATCTTGATGGCCTGAGAGTGAGTAAATTAACAGCAAATGTTAATTTTTGGGTGAACTATTTCTTTAAAAGTATAACATTTCTTATTTGTCTCTCACCCCGAGATGTTCTCCTAGTTTGATCCTCTCGGTCTGTATCTCTCTCAGGGTCTTTTTGCTCAGGGTCTGCATCATGGCGTTCTGTGCAGTGAGACGGGTGGAGGCATTCAGATCCTGCACCGCCACCACAGATATCACCGGACTCCAGATCCGGAACTGGATATCCGCTCCAACCGACACCAGACCACCGTCTTTGGTGGGTACCTTTTGGCAGGGAAAATTGTGTGAATCTCAAAATACTTGGTATACAGAAAGATGAGTTTTTAAACATAATCTGACTAGCACTGTTATTTCACTGTACCTTGCATGGTGGGACGTTAAAGGCTCTGGTCCGCAGGTCAACTTTCTGCCACTGATCAATCAAGGGCAGAACCAGAACCACTCCTGGACCTTTAGGAGGACGGATCCGGCCCAGACGAAAAACAACAATCCTCTCATAGTTTGGTACAACCTGAAAATGATACTGTATATTTAATAAGCACTTAAAAAAAGACTAAAACTCTCCTAAAAATGTTCTGACCTTTAGGACAAACCATCCAGATATGGGAAAAGTTATGAAGGTAAATAGGAAAACCAGGAACGTTACGATCAAGTTGCAAATCCAGGACAACAATCCTTGAGATTTATCTGTTATGAAAATAGCATAATTATGATTTATCAACGAATTATAAGTAATATGTATATATAAGCATTAAATATTAGTACTATTGCTATTACTAAAAGTAAAAAAAATACTATATGAATATATTTAATTTAATACTAATAAATATACACACACATAAAAAAGCATCAAATAGTATATTACATATTACACATATATACATAATACTAATATTAACTATTAAATATATATGTTTGTACTACTGAACTACTGAATAGAATATTATATATATATATATATATATATATATATAGACGGACGTAGTATCAATTACAAAAATAAGCAAAATTAAAATCACATAGAGTAAACGTATGGATCAGTCAGCTGAAGTTAGGCAGATTAATCAACAATATTTGCTATTTTGAGCGGCACTGACAGATAACTGCACCTACCGATTATACAGCATGTCTGAAAATAGTACAGTTTGTGGGCAAAACAACATAACTATGGTTTCTTTGGCTGTAAATCTCTCTGTTTCTGGATTAATAATCAACAACTATTGTGCTAATGGTAACAAAATTTACTTTCATTTTTTATCCAGTCAGAAAATGCTCATCTGGTGGTAGTAGAGTGAGAAATAATAGACTCTCACCTGGTCTCTGAATGGTAGATGGGAAAACACCGGCAGGTTCTTGGCCCATTTAACAGACATGAAGAGTAGGCGGGCTGAGGTCTCATATACACTCTCTGGTCCACGTGAGGGGTAGAGAGCACTGCCATACTCCGGAGAACTCCTTTCAGGTTCATTACTGGTCACATCAATGTTCTCATCCACTGTTACAAACAAAATATTGAATTTATAAAGTATAGATTAAGAGTTATTAGCCTGTTGAAAAGGCCAGCTTAGACCAGCATAAACTTCCCAGCTGCTGGTTTATACTACTGTAGTGTTGGTCTTTTAGGTAGACCGGCATAGCCATGGAGCACTACTGCCTCACTATCTAGTCAGTCAATGACTTAACAGGTAGCATTTTATCTATAAAGGTACCTCATACACTGTCAGAATATAACTGTACCTTTAGGAGTACAGCAACTTTCACTAGGCAAGTACCCTTAAAGGGACATCTTTGTACCCTACATACCCCTAAAAGGTGCACTCTCAGAAAAAAGGTACAAAAGGTACACCTTTGCACTTTCTTTACCCCTAAAGGGTGCATTTTAGTACCTAAAGTGTACATAATATTGTACTTTAGAGTAGTTATATGTACCCTTAAGGTACTAATATGCACCTTCGGGGGCAAATAAGGTACAAAATTGTCTCTTTTAAGGGTACACTTTCAGGTTCAAAAGCTGTCACTGGGACAGTACACTTTCAAAAGATACTAAAGACACTACTAAGGTGCTTTTAAGGAAAGGAAAGGAAAGGAAAGGACGTGACATGTGGCCAAGTATGGTGTCCCATACTTGGAATTTGTGCTCTGCATTTAACCCATCCAAGCACACACACACAGCAGTGAGTAGTGAAAACACACACACACCGTGAACACACACCCGGAGCAGTGGGCAGCCATGTG